AGCTCGAGGGGAAAGAGCGGAGGCGAAGAGAAAAAAGCAATGAGGTTGAACTCTAAGTTTTTACGTTGGCTACCCCTCGGGCCGATAGTTTTTGAACGAAAAAAATCTTGACGGAAGGGGTCTATTTTGGCAGGTACGTTTTCAAAAATCAAGCTAGATTTGTACAGTTAGAGGTGGAATTGAATTGTGACGGGCTCGTCTCAAACGTGGCTTGAAGACTAATTAATAACGGTTCAAGGAGGAAGCTGCCTACAACTTACTTTACCTTTAATCCATGGATAAGTAACAGAAATTAGTATTCTCGAGAAAAACATAAAAGGTTAATTTTCAGTTTGAAGATTTTCTACAATTTTTAAGTAATTTCACATTGCTTCTGTACCGGCCTTTGCTTTAGAGGGAAATTTCGTAACATTAATGACCCATAGGTTCGTATGCTAATGTAATTAGAAAAAAATTTGCATAAAGCAACCTCGTAAAGATGCCCGATCTTCTTCAAAAAATTGCTTCGAAGCGGAGATTCGCAAGTTTAAGTATTCGCGGGGTAACCGAGACGATCCTTTCTTTATCGGTTTTTATTCTTTTATTGTCAATAATAATAACACTACTACTACTACTACTACTACTACTACTACTACTACTACTACTACTACTACTACTACTACTACTACTACTACTACTACTACTACTAATAATAATAATAATAATAATAATAATTGTAATAACGATCATCATAAATAAATAAATGCGTTGGTTTTGCACGCTGAAGAGGAACGCCTTTTTCTCCGATGGTGGTGATGGTTATCTCAAGGTGCATAAACTCCCCAACTGCATGTTTTTACTAGGGATAGAAGTAATATCAGCTGGAAATAAATCTTCGCTGGTAGAGGGGTTATTTAATTTACCCTCTTTTTAAGTATCAGAGGCCTTGTCTATATATCGTGGAGATGAATCTTACAAAGTTTACGCGCACTCTACTCAGATAATTGCCAGCTGCATTTTTTTTCATGCCCTTTCACGATATAACGTTAGCTCATGTTGTCCAAAATTCTTGTTATGCCCGAGCTTGTAATGGCTTAAAGGCAGCTACGTCTCTGGTAACACCTACTCGATGTGCATATAATTCTTCAGGTCTTACTTGACCTCACCCTAGAAACTGTTAATAATTGGCGAAAGAACCAGCGGCAGTCGCAACTAGAAACTCAGGTGAATTGAGGCCTTGGACTGCCTTCTTTTTGCTCTGAAATAAAAGGGGGTGGTCTATCTTCAAAAGAAAATTTGTGGCAAGGGTAAGACGTGGTTATTGCATTATCCCTGTTAAGATAGTAGTATTTTTGAGATTGACATCACCATGGTAACGTGTTTCGTGACGAAGTAACGCTTCACTTCCGTAATTTTTTTTCTTTAAGGATTCTGCAGGCAGGGTAAAAAACTTTTACTGAGCATT